CGTAGAAGCTTAAAATCGATATTTGACGCCATTTGTAGGGTATTTGACACTTCTTCTGAAATCGGAAGCCACCTTCTTGAATTTCAACATGGTGTCGGACATCGATTTCCTGTCTTAAGATGTCATCCCGATAAAAAAATGCTCACATTGATCGGTATTTGAGAGTATTTCATACTTTTCTGAACCAAAGCCACCATCTTTTATTTTAAAATGGCATCAAAAATCGGTTTATGGCCTCTAGATGTTGCTGGGATTGCGAACATACCCACATTGATGGGTATTTGGCAGTATTCCCCACTTTTTATGAAACTAGAAATCGCCATCTTGGATTTCAAGATGACGTCTAACATCGATTTTCGGCATATACGTGTCATTCCTGTTCTGAAAATACTCATAATTTAGGGTATTTGACACTTTTCCTTAAATCTTTAGCCGCCGTTTTGGATTTCAACATGGCGTCGGATATCGATTTCCGGCTGCTAGACGGTACTCTGATTCTAAAATCCCGTATGTACAGGTATTTGATAGAATTTCCCACTTTTTCTTAAACTGGAAGCGGCTATCATCGATACCGATACCGATCTTTATTCTCTAGACGTCATCCCGACAGTATTTCCCAGTTTATCTTAAACTGGAGGCCACCATCTTGAATTTAAACATGACGCGTTAACACTGAAGCTAACGGCGCCGGTGGTGTAGTGGTAAGCGTGATTACCTCTCACCCCAGCAGGCCTGGGTTCAATTCCAGTCGGCGCCGCCGGGATGTTCTGAGGCATAACATCTCTGATCACACCTTCCTTCGGATGGGAAGTAAAGCCGTTGGTCCCCGGTTCATGAGATGATGGGTCGATAGGTAGGGTCCAGGTGTGGGAGCTGTCTTCCTGGCACGTCGATAGCATTGGTGCTCAGCACGGAAAACAAGATCGACGGAAAAAACAAACCAAAGGAAAAAAAAAATAAACTGAAGCTCCATCACTGCAGGAGATTGAAGCAGCGATCCGAAGCATGAAATCCAACAAGGCTCCAGGGGTCGATCGCATATCAGCAGAGATGCTCAAAGCTGATCCCATGCTATCCGCTCAAATGTTGCGTCAACTATTCTTCAATATCTGGGACACCGCGACTTTTCCGGCCGACTGGATGCAGGGCGTCTTGGTAAAAGTCCCCAAGAAGGGGGATCCAACTGTATGCGACAACTGGTGGGGCATCATGTTAATGTGTATTGTTCTCAAAAATCTGTGTAAAGTTATCCTCAATTGGATACAGGAGAAGATGGACGCGACTCTCCGACGACAGCAGACAGGATTCCGTGCTGGAAGATCCTGTGTGGACCATATTGTCACGCTCCGCATCATCTTGGAGCAGGTCAATGAGTTCCAAGAGTCCCTGTACTTGGTATTCATTGACTACGAAAAAGCTTTCGACCGACTAAACCGCGAGAACTTGTGGGGCGCTCTGAGACGCAAGGGAGTCCCTGATAAGATCGTCAACCTCATCGAAGCGCAGTACGAGGCTTTCTCATGCAGAGTGTTGCACAACGGAGCTTTGTCTGATCCGATTCGGGTAATCGCGGGTGTGAGGCAAGGATGTATATTATCACCGCTACTGTTCCTCATCGTAATCGACGAGATCATGGTTGAAGCCGTTGACCGTGTACCGAACCGTGAGTTGCTGTAGCAGCCTATTACCATGGAGCATCTCAACGACTTCGATGTGGCTGATGATGTTGCACAACGGCGCTCTGACATGCAGAGTAAGCTCGACGACCTTGTGGAACGCTCCTCTGAAGCTGGTCTAACCATCAACGTCAACAAGAACAAATCGTTGTATGTCAACACGGAAAACCGTTCTAATTTCACGGTAGCTGGGCAGGCAGTGGAGAAAGTCGAAAGCTTCCAATATCTTGGCAGCCAGATAGCGTCGGACGGCGGCACCAAGAGCGACATAGGTACACGGATTAAGAAGGCGAGGGCTGCTTTTGCCAGTTTGCGAAATGTTTGGAGAGCGAATCAGATCAGTCGGCGCACCAAAATACGAATTTTTAACTCGAACGTGAAGTCTGTGCTGTTATACGCCAGTGAAACATGGTGTGTATCAGCGGAGAACACTCAGAAGCTGCAGGTGTTTATCAACCGATGCCTGCGGTACATAATTCGTGCCTGGTGGCCCCACAATTGGATCTCAAACTCCGAGCTTCATCGTTTGTGCCATCAGAAGCCGATAGAGACAGAAATTCGTGACTGGAAGTGGAGGTGCGTCGGCCATACACTACGACGGAGCGGAAACGAAATCTGCAAGCAAGCACTGGAGTGGAATCCAGCAGGACATCGCAGCAGAGGCAGACCCAGAGGCATTAAATTAAGAACGTTGACCGAAATTTGACTTGGGCACAGGTAAAGGCCAAAGCTATTAATCGCCCAGGATGGAAATCTTTCACAAAGGCCCTTTGAACCCCTGGAGGTGCGCAGGATCGTTAAGTAAGTAAGTAAGTACGTAATTAAGTGAAGTTGTACAAAGTAAAATGAACTTCTAAAAAATGTGCTTCACTTCTATAAAGTTTCCTAAACATCTACGCAATTTCTTGAACGTTTACGTAGTTCCCTGAAACCAAATGTTCTTCCGTAAAGGCTCATTTTTATAAATCTGAGCACCCCCGAATTTGAAGAGTAGCGGTGAAGACATGTGAAGGCATCCATCTTGAAGAAGACCAGTTCCAGGCCAAATAGGATAACAAAAATTTGAGACTCGACCTTCTCCGATTGGGATGAAAATTTTGCATAATTATGTGTTACGGACAATCATTCACATTTTTGGATTTTGATTTTTTTTTTTCAAAACGGCGTTTTTGACATTTTTCAATAAATTGTAGCACTAAAACGTCACTTCTGATCGAAATGACGTCTGAGACAAAGTTGTTATGAAAAGTAAAGCATTTCTGCGAAAAATATACACAGAATTTTTGTAAGAATGCCAAGGATTGCGCATGACACACAATTATAAAAGTTTCATGTAAATCGGAGAAGATCGAGTTTTTCCGTTTCGTTATATCGGAGAAAATCCACGACAGAAATAAACCACGTTTTACTTTTGCTTGCTTGTACACGAATGATTTTATTTCGACAAACTCACATGAAAAGAAACAGTCATCGATATGCAATCATGGTAGACTGGTTATGTTTATATACAGTGTAGTCCATCTAATACGAACTTTATAACACGTTATCTGGCGGGGAACTGCTCATAAGACTTTATTAAAATACACCTGGCATCCCTGCCGTCAATGGTTGGAAATCGATGTTCGTCCGATGGGTCCGATGGCACTCGATTGCGGAACAGAGACCGACGTTAAATAGAGAAATCAAGAAGAAGGAGAAGAAGAATGCAGAGCGTATTGTCCATAAGCTTTATTTCAATTCAGGATTGGTCATTATCCTAGCCAATATGTAGCAGTTAGCGTCACAATAACTGTGGCGCAATTACACTATCAGTGTCAACATTTCAAAGGGGCGTAATTGCTTTTGTAAACAATGGCTTTAGCCGTTGATTTCTCGCATATTAAAGCTCATCTCTCCAAATTAACAATGCTAGCTGGAAGTGTCATTAATTTTCGTGTGTGAGCTTTTATTCGCGAGAAATCGACGGCTAAAGCTATTGTTTACGAAAGCAATTACGCTCCTTTGAAATGTTGACACTGATATTATAATATATGAGCGTGGATGCTCATTTTAGGTGGCTATATTTACAAACTGCCAACCCGAGTAGCAGCTGCCGGGATTCATGGGGGAAATAGAATTAGCACTTTGTTTTTATTTATTTATCTTTAACGCTTAATTTCCCTGCCGTTTTAGGGTTTTCCCATCTGGGACAGGTTTTCTACTTCTTCATTTTATTGAGTCAGTACTCCACGTTAAGATAAAAAGCAGAAACCATCAACGAACAAAATTAAGAAATTCACCCCTTTTTCTTCACAATAAATCCCTCAGGACTCCCGCAGACATAATTTATTTATTTACCCCCCCTCCATCCCTCCATCGGCAATCCGAATCCAAAACGTAGCCAAAAGTGCTGTTTTAGATTACTGTTGGTTCCTTCTGCGCCGGAAATGAGATATTTTCATTCACCATCAGTGCCTTGCATCGTTCACTTTTCATTTAATGTGCCGCAATTTCACACCACTCTCATCCTACCAATTTTTCTGATAGTCTACTTGCTGTTTTGAAACTACCCAAAGCGGTCAAAACTGAACCTACGCAAAAATGGGTAAACTAAGTTGGGAGTTACAAGTCTCCAAATAAAAAACATCGATCGGATTCAGGTTAGATGTTCTCCAATTATCAACTTGTCACTCCCAACTTAGATTACCCATTTTTGGGTCGTTTCATCTTGGTGGATCCTACTCAAATTTGGGTAGTTTTTAAATAGCAAGCGTTCACCCTGTAAAAGTATTAACTTTTTCTCATTTCGACTTCCATCGACGCAAGTTCTTTCTTGGGATTTATCCAAGTAGGCCGCCCCTAAGAACAACCACAACTTCATAGTATAATGTGAACCATTTCCGATCCAATTGAGTTTGTGTCGTGTGCCGTCGATTCATTGCTTGGGGCACGTTTGTGCTTCTATTAATTGCGTGTTCCACACATGAAGGAAAGTTTCCCGAAATGGAAATAGCCTTCGGTATCCCCGGCGGAATTGATGAAGAAATAAAAAACTCGTAAATGCTGTTTTATATCATTGGGATCAGACACGGATGCTTAGAGTTCGTGTTTGTCTGGCTGGGTAGGCATGCCCGGAAAACGTATGTAAATTTCCGTTCCGTATGAAGCGTGTATTCGGACCAAAGCGTGTAGAATTTCCCCATACACACACAAAGTTGGCCATGCGGGAAATCAAATTTCTTGCCGAGTGAAAGGATACTTTTTAAAAACCAAGTGTTGCTTTGATGATTTTTCGGAATGACAGATCAAACAGTGGATATGGTTGTGTTTACGTTTATGTAAAATTAGTAATACCCGTATCTGCGAACTTCGTTTGAACTTCTGAGCTTATGGATTAGTCCGGCTGTTTCGTTTCCGGTTTCCTTCGACGACACAGCTCGACTACCAGGAATATGGTAAACAGCAGTCCGATGGCGATGAAGCTGTAGCTGTACACGGTAAACTGCCCACGGATGTCCAGTGCGAACCAGCCGTCGTTATCCACCACGGCTAAGGTGAGTATGGTTTGCGATACCAAACCCACCATGGTGTTGATGCCGAAGATCAGCGCAAAGCTGTCATCGGAGATGTGTTTGGCGATCTCCGAGCTGACAAGCGTGATGGTGAAAGCGTGCAGAATGCCGAACAGGGTATAGCCAACGTAGGAAACGGTCAGGTTGGAGGTTTTCGTTGCCATGAGTAGTCCCAAGCCTTCTAGGATGGCGATCATCGATAAGCCAAGAATGGTGGTGTGTAGTTTAAGGAATCTCTGAGGGACGAATCCTGCTAGGAGGGCGACCAGGGAGCCCATTAGGGTTAAGATGGCTTCGACTGCTCCATTCCAGAGTACAGTATCCGGTCCACCGATGGCGGACCATAGAGCTTGCACGTACGATGTGATTTGATAGTAGAAGCACACTGCTAGCGAGTACCACAAACTGTACCGTATAATCGTAAAGTTTGAGTAAGCGGACCTGAAGTGACTCCAAAGGAGCGTTGTTGCTCGTTGCCATGTTGATTCGGAAGGTTGAGTTTGAGTTTGATGGTTGTCCGATTTGAGCTCGATTTCCTCTTCTGAAGGTTGTTCTCGATGGTGGAAGTACATGCTTGCAGGCACTGGAGGTAACATGAATGCCCATACTGTGGTCGCGAGTTGCACTGAAATTTAATCGCTGTTAATCACCTGTGAATCAATCAAATAAAAACACGAATCCATACCTCCCAGCGAGATGTAGTTCAACCCTAGATAGTCGGTAATTCCAAAGTAGATAAGCGTCTGTGAAGTGGTCGCCGCCAGGAACCGTCCGGCTTGGGTTGCCGAACGGATGTGCGAAGTTACCTTCTGGTAGTGCCTTCTGTCGACCTTCGCGTAAATATACGTCCAATACGCAATATCGGCAGCCATGTACGTCCCATAGAACACCTCCAGGATCTGCAGTGCTGCTAGCGAACTGGTCCACACAAACAAACTCCACACCAAGGTCCCGGCCAAACCAGCCACTATGATCAGCGGCTTGTAGCGAAAGTAATCCGTTATCAAGAACACCACCACCAGCTGCGCCACATAGGAATACGTCCCGATGGGAAACACATCCTGAACCACCTGTTCGACCGTTACGTTGTGCCACGGACCGGTCAGAAATTGAAACACAAACGGTTCACTCGGTCGAAACTCCTTCAGGAAGCCGAATATGCACAGAATTAACGAAACACGCTGCCACTGTTCCATAGCTCGCCGCACAACTAAAAGCTATCACCACCACTCTCGGCAAACGCTTGGAACGTTCACTCAAATACATACTTCTCACACCTTATGGATGCTGGGCTGGCACTGCGGCCTGTAAGTGAGCAATGTGATAAGCTTCTCGATCGCAGCAACCATGTGTTCCATCAGTTCCATGCACATGGTGCACTCCGAAAATCTCCGACCACGTGCCTACTGCGATGTCGATTCCATTCCCCTACAACCGGTTCCCTCGGTGTATGCTCATATTTGACACTAATTTGAAGCGAATTGAATCGAAACATCAGCCCGACATGTCTGCGTGTTGGTTTGGTCGGTCTATCCCATGCATGCATGCATGCATGTGGGCAGGGTTACTTGCATTCATTCCGCATATAGCAATTGTTTTATTGTATGATTGAATTAGATATTATGATGACATTTTGTAGTTGTATTTTTTTTAAATCTTTATTATAGAGATTTTTAGCCGAAGGCTAGTTCATCTCTTCGTAGTTGTAAGTGTTTTCTTCGCAAACAGCGTTCAGCAAATAACTGATTGTGAGTCATTCAAACCAAAATTGGCAGGTTTTATGTGTACAGTACATCCCTTACCAGCTCTTCTTTTTTTTTTTTTTTTTTTGTTGCTTCAGGCTAAGACCATGGCTGGTCCATCTTCTTTTAACTTACTGGTCCAGCTCTTCTTTTAACTTACAAATACAAAATATCATTCATCTTATCATTCCAAAATACCATAAAACATTTTTTTTATACAAAATGAATGGAAGTAACCCTGCAATGTGGGATGCAGAACGAAGTGAATGAACATTGTAGGGAATGCATGAATAAATAAGATAAAAATAGACGAAAATATATCAGCTATTCACCCGAATCGTGGCGCGTCGTTCGATTTCGAAGAAAAAAAAAACGTGATGAAAACAAATGTTAACAAAATGTGATTTTTATGTCAGCTACTCCGAAAACACGTACGGGCAAAATGTGTTTCATACTTTGCTCACACAATGTCGTGAAAAATGCCAAAACTATGTTGCCTCATCCATAAGAGCCCATGGAGAAATCAATCTTCAACAGCTTTCAGCTTGCTGTTTTAACGAATGTGACAACTAAGCTGAAAACGGCAGTGTACCGGTCGATCAAAACATTGCTCGATGTGGCTTATGTCAGCCAAAATCTAAGGAGGCCAAAAAAGTATTTGCAATCTTCAAAAAATGGTAAATATTGATGACCGGCTGTTGTGACAATCAAGCATGGAAAAAATGAGTTCATTTTTGCATTTACTACTCACTCACACGCATACATCATCAGAGACGAGCAGCAGCTTGTGCGAACCGCACTGATCTCGTTCATAATTTTATTGCTTATATTTTCTTCGATGAACTAAAATTGAGGAAAACAGACAGCTGAGCGTAACTTGAATGATTTTGAGTGTATTAGTGTGGATGATTCCTCACATACTGAGCCGTTTACGATTGCCTTCTGCTGAACCTAATAAAAATAACCGTAAGAAAGAGCTTAACGACGTGTTCGGGGTATCATCCAAACCATTGGTGGATAGTTCTACCATCCGAGTTACCGTTCGATTATTTTCTAGCATTAAACATAAATTGACACTTTTAAATTGGTAAAGCATGGCCTACTTAGTAATGGCATAACATCATTAATGGACTGAAATTTTGGGTCTATTTCGGATTTGAAAACGGTTTTCTCTCAAGTGCATACTATTCCAAATGTTTTAAGAAAAAAAAAAACGAAACGAATTAAGGCCCAAACGCAATGTGGGCGGAAGCGGAACGGAAACGGAAAGTTTGACAGTTGTCACAAATGACACTCAACCGAAGTCGATTTGGTTCTAACTAGATTTCAATCCGACGTTTCAAAGTTGGCGTTATACGTTCTGCCACATCTTGGATTGAAATACACCTCAACACCTTGCTGCGCAGCTGACGATCCCTGGTGGCAGTGTTTTCGTAGGTCCGTTGATTCCTTTCCACACTCAGGGTTTCCTTGTAGGTTTTGAGCCCTCGATAAACTGTTGTTTTCGGCATCTTCAGCACGTTAGGACCACTCGGATTTTCCAGGTGTTTGTGCACAATATTTTTTCTTCTTTCGAGTTCCATTAGACGTTACTTCTGAACGCGATCGACTACTTAGATCAAACTTGCACCAGTTGTTCTCTATAGAAGTGTCAATAAACCACTGTCAAAGATTTTCGATTCCCAACACTAGAGGCGTGCTGGCGGCGCGTGAGGGGCGTACCAAATTACTTTTAGTCAGCCTTTCTTTAATTTTAAACAAAACACCCGGAACCTTGGGCTACAAAATGGTGAGTTGACAACCTGGAAGGAGCGCAATACATAGCCCTGGTCCTCACAAGTTCCTACTTCACGCCTCCTCGAGTCATATGATAACAAAAGACTACCAGCTGAAACATGGACACAGCTGGGTGGCGTAGCCTGGGCAATGTTGCCAGTCCGGCAATAGCAAAGTGAAGAGGTGCGACGCGAACACTGGCGCGGTAACCATAGTACGGTGATAGAGGAAATGCTTCACCAAACCTGAGCGTCTGTTCACCATGGAGGTGCGGCTCAAAACGGCGTCTGTTCTCCATGTTAGGAGCGGCTGATCACCGTCCTAGTGCCAGTGTGGCACTCTAAACAGAGCTGTGCACGATGGTCCCCCGGCGAGACAGGGGGTTGGGGCAGGCCCAACAAGCCGCCCTGGAAAAAAACATAAAGTTGCAAATACTGAAGAAAGAAATACGAATCGGAGCAATCGGCACAGACCTACGCGACGAAATAAGGACTACGATTGGAAACTTGGAACATGGAACTTCAAATCGCTCGGCTTCCCGGGCTGCGATAGGTTAATCTATGACGAACTTCAACCACGCAACTTCGAAGTCGTAGCACTGCAGGAACTTTGCTGGACGGGACAAAAGGTATGAAAAAGCGGGCATCGAGCGGCTACTTTCTACCAGAGCTGTGGCACCACCAACGAGCTGGGAACCGGCTTTGTAGTGCTGGGTAAGATGCGCCAACGCGTGATTGGTTGGCAGCCGATCAACGCGAGGATGTGCAAGTTGAGGATTAAGGGCCGTTTCTTCAACTATAGCATCATCAACGTGCACTGCCCACACGAAGGGAGACCCGACGACGAGAAAGAAGCGTTCTATGCGCAGCTGGAGCAGGTGTACGACGGCTGTTCGCAACGGGACGTCAAAATCGTCATCGGCGACATGAACGCTCAGGTAGGACGGAAGGCAATTTATAGACCGACAATCGGGCCAAACAGCCTGCATGCCGTATCGAACGACAACGGCCAACGATGCGTGAACTTTGCAGCCTCTCGGGGTATGGTAGTTCGAAGTACCTTTTTCCCCCGCAAGGATATCCACAAAGCCACCTGGAATCACCTGACCAACACACAGAAAACCAAATCGATCACGTTCTAATCGACGGGAAATTCTTCTCCGACATTATCAACGTCCGCACGTACCGCTGTGCGAACATAGATTTGGACCACTACCATCCGTCGTAGTCGAACGCCGCGACCCAACATTGAGCAACTACGGGACGCCGGAGTTGCCCAGGACTACGCGCAGCAGCTGGAAGTTGCACTACCCACGGAAGAGCAGCTTGGCACAGCTTCTCGGGATATCCGTTCCGCCATAAGTTGTACTGCTGCAGCGGCACTATGTTCTGCAATCCCGGGCCGAAGAAATGACTGGTTTGATGGCGAATGCAAACTGTTAGTAGAGGAGAAGAAGCACGGGCGAGAATGTTGCAACACCGCACGAGACTGAATGTGGAGATACAGACAAGCGCGGAACAGACCAAACTCGGTTTTCCAAAGGAAGCAGCAAGACCGAGATCGCGAGGCGATGGAAAATCTGTACCGCGTAAACGACACACGGAAGTTCTACGAGAAGCTAAATAGTTCGCGCAAAGGCTACGTGCCGCAAGCCGATATGTGCAAGGACTTGGACGGTAACCTTCTCACGAACGAGTGTGAGGTGATTGAGAGGCGGAAGCAGTACTATGACGAGTACCTCAACGGTGAAGCAGCAGAAAACGAAGGTGGCACGGCAACAGACCTTGGAGCACGCGCAGAAGACGACAGACTACCGGCCCTTGATATTCAAAAAATTGAGGAGGAGATCGGTCGGCTGAAGAACAACAAAGCAACTGCTGCAGATCAACTACCAAGTGAGCTAATAAAATACGGTGGAGAAGCACTGGCTAGCGCGCTGCACTGGGTAATTGCCAGGATTTGGGAGGAGGAGATATTACCGGAGGAGTGGATGGAAGGTGTCGTATGCCCAATCTACAAAAAGGGCGACAAGTTGGATTACTACAACTACCGCGCGGTCACACTGCCGAGCGCCACCCACAAGGTACTCTCCCAAATTATATGCCGCCGCCTGTCACCATTGGCAAGAGAGTTCGTGGGGCAATACCAGGCAGGTATCATGGGTGCCCACGCTACAACGGACCAAATTTTCGCCATTCGGCAGATTCTGCAGAAATGCCGCGACTACAACGTGCCCACACATCATTTGTTCATCGATTTCAAATCCGCATACGACACAATCGATTGAGATCAGCTATGGCAGATTATGCACGAGTACGGATTTCCGGATAAACTGACGCGATTGGTCAAGGCGAGGATGGATCGAGTGATGAGCGTTGTTCGAGTATCGAGTTCGAGTCCCTTTGAATCTCGAAGGAGGCTACGGCAAGGTGATGGACTTTCGTGTCTGCTATTCAACATCGCGTTAAAAGGTGTGATCAGAAGAGCTGGGATAGACACGAGTGGCACGATCTTCAGGAAGTCCATCCAGCTTCTTGGCTTCGCCGATGACATTGACACCATGGCATGGAACTTTGACACGATGGCGGAAACGTACATCAGACAGAAGGCTGAAGCTAGGTGGATTTGACAAGCCATCAACGCATCAAAGACAAACTACATGAAAGGAAGAGGTTCTAGGGAAGACAATGTTAGCCTCCCACCCCGAGTTCAGATTGACGGTGACGAAATCGAGGTGGTCGATGAGTTCGTTTATTTGGGCGTTCCTGGTG